ATCTTCTCAGATCACAATGGCATGAAACTAGAAATCAATTGCAACAAGAACATGCAAAGACATTTCAACACATGGAGACTAAATAGCATGTTATTAAACAATGAATGGGTCACCGAGGAGATCAAGGAAGAAATTAAAAACTTCCTGGAAACCAATGAAAATGAACACACAACAACACAAAATCTATGGGATGCAGCGAAAGCAGTTCTGAGAGGGAAGTTCATAGCACTACAGGCCTACCTCAAAAAACAAGAAAAATTTCTAATTGACTGTCTAACCTCACAGCTTAAAGAATTAGAAAGCAAACAAAAAGAAAACCCCAGAGCAAGTAGAAGGAAGGAAATAGTAAAGATCAGAGCAGAAATAAATGACATAGAGACCAAAAAAACAATTCAAAGGATCAATGAAACAAAGAGCTGGTTTTTCAAAAAGATAAACAAGATAGATGGACCCTTAGCTAGACTCACCAAGAAACAAAGAGAGAGAACCCAAATACACAAAATCAGAAATGAAGGAGGAGAAGTAACAGCCAACACCACGGAAATACAAAAGATCGTTAACAACTACTATGAACAACTATATGGCAACAAATTCGACAATCTCAGTGAAATGGACAAATTTCTAGAAACACACAGTCTCCCAAAACTATTCCCGGAAGAGACAGAAAACTTGAACAGACCAATAACAACTAAGGAAATTGAAGAGGTAATCAAGACTCTCCCAGCAAACAAAAGCCCAGGCCCAGATGGTTTCACAGGGGAGTTTTACCGAACATTCAAAAAAGAACTAACACCCATTCTCCTCAAACTATTTCAAAAAATTCAAGAAGAAGGAAGACTTCCAACCACATTCTATGAGGCCAGCATAATTCTAATTCCAAAACCAGAAAAAGACACTACGAAGAAAGAAAACTACAGGCCAATATCCCTGATGAACATAGACGCCAAAATCCTGAACAAAATACTAGCAAATCGGATCCAGAAATACATCAAAAAAATTATTCACCACGACCAAGTGGGATTCATTCCAGGGATGCAAGGCTGGTACAATATTCCAAAATCAATAAACGTGATACACCACATAAACAAAATGAAGAATAAAAACCACATGATCATATCAATAGATGCTGAAAAAGCATTTGACAAAATCCAGCATCCATTTCTGATAAAAACGCTCAGCAATGTAGGAATAGAGGGATCATATCTCAACATAATAAAGGCCATATATGAAAGACCTACAGCCAACATCATACTCAATGGACAGAAACTAAAAACATTTCCATTAAGAACAGGAACAAGACAGGGATGTCCACTTTTGCCACTCTTATTTAACATTGTACTGGAAGTCTTAGCCACAGCAATCAGACATGAAGAAAAAATAAAAGGGATCCAAATTGGAAAGGAGGAAGTGAAACTGTCATTATTTGCAGATGACATGATATTGTACATAGAAAACCCTAAAGACTCCATCAAAAATCTATTCGATTTAATAAATGAATTTGGCAAAGTAGCAGGATACAAAATTAACGTCAAGAAATCGACGGCATTCTTGCACATCAATGATGAACTCACAGAAAGAGAAACTGAAAAAACAATCCCATTTACCATCGCTCCAAAAAAATTACTATACCTAGGAATAAACTTAACCAAAGAAGTAAAGGACCTATTTGCAGAAAACTACAGGTCATTGAAAAAAGAAATAGAGGAAGATATAAAGAAGTGGAAGCACATACCCTGTTCATGGATTGGAAGAATTAACATCATTAAAATGTCCATACTACCCAAAGCAATCTATAGATTCAATGCAATCCCCATCAAAATACCAACGACATATTTCATAGAACTAGAACAAATACTTCAAAAGTTCATATGGAACCAAAAAAGACCCCGAATAGCCACAGCAATCTTGAAAAAGAAGAACAAAGTTGGAGGGATCACAATACCAGATATCAGGTTATACTACAAAGCGACTGTAACCAAAACAGCCTGGTACTGGCACAAGAACAGGCATATAGACCAGTGGAACAGAACTGAAAACCCAAAAATGGACCCAAGGCAATACGCTCAATTAATATTTGACAAAGGTGGCAAGAGCATACAGTGGAGTAAAGACAGCCTCTTTAATAAATGGTGTTGGGAAAATTGGACAGCTACATGCAAAAAAAATGAAACTAGACCATCAACTTACACCATACACAAAAATAAACTCAAAATGGATAAAAGACTTAAATGTGACCCGTGAATCCATAAAAAATCTAGAAGTAAATGTAGGCAACAAAATTTCGGACATCATACGGAGCAGAATTTTCACTGATACATCACCTAAGGCAACAGAAATAAAGGAGAAAATGAACACATGGGACTACATCAAACTAAAAAGCTTCTGCACAGCAAAAGAAACAATCATCAAAATGGAAAGGCAACCCACTGTATGGGAGAACATCATTGCCAATGATGTATCAGATAAGGGATTAATTTCCAATATATACAGAGTGCTCATACAACTCCACAAAAGGAAGACAAAGAACCCAATTAAAAAATGGGCAGAGGAGCTGAATAGACACCTCTCCAAACAGGACATACAAATGGCCAAGAGACATATGAAGAAATGCTCAACATCACTAATCATCAGAGAGATGCAAATTAAAACAACAATGAGGTATCACCTCACACCTGTCAGAATGGCCGCCATCAACAAATCATCAAACAACAAGTGTTGGCGAGGGTGTGGAGAAAAGGGGACTCTAATACACTGCTGGTGGGATTGCAGACTGGTGCAGCCACTATGGAAAACAATATGGTGCTACCTCAAAAAATTAAAAATTGAACTTCCATTTGACCCAGTGATCCTACTGCTGGGAATATACCCTAGGAAGCCTGAAACACCAATCAGGAAGAATATATGTACCCCCATGTTCATAGCAGCACTATTTACAATAGCTAAGATATGGAAACAGCCTAAGTGTCCACCAGTAGACGAATGGATCAAAAAGCTGTGGTACATATACACAATGGAATACTATGCAGCGGTAAGAAAGAAAGATCTCTTATCCTTTGAGACGACATGGAGGGACCTGGAAAGTATTATCCTAAGTGAAAGAAGCCAAGCAGAGAAGGACAAATACCACATGATCTCACTTATATACGGAATATAATGAACATAACAGTCTGAGGAATACAGTAGACCCAGACACATGGAAGTGGGGCACAGACTGACATCCCTCAGAAGAGAGGATGGGGGGTGGGGGGGGTGGGAAGAGATAAACCACAGAACTTATATGCATGTATGCATGACCAATGGACATGGACAACTAAGCCGGGGACAGGGTGGAGGGGGGGTGGGGTGGGGGGTGCCAATGGGGTAAAAAGGTAAAATATCTGTAACAAAAAAATAAATTAATTAAATTAAAAAAAAATTGTGGTATATTTGCACAATAGAATACTATGAAGCTATAAGAAAGAAGGATTTTTTACCCTTTGAGACGGTATGGAGGGACCTAGAGAGTATCATGGTAAGTGAAATAAGTACAAAGACAAGTATCATATGATCTTGAAATTTTTTTAAATTTATTTATGAAATCTAACGTACAAAATAAGCTGAAGAACAAAATGGATCTAGAGACATGGAAGTGTAGGGAACAGAGTGACAAACTTCAGCGGGAAGGGTTGGGTAGGGGTGGGAGGAAATAAACAAAAGAACTTATGTGCATATATGCATAACCAATGGACACAGACAACAGTGATATGAAGGTTGGGGATGGGTAGGAGCAGGGAAGAGGGTTTCAATGAGGGAAAAATGGAGAGATATCTGTAATACTTTAAACAATAAAGATAAATTAAAATATATATATATAATACCAACTGGGAAGAGTATGAAGAAACATATCTTAATGTTACAGGTAAATGGATATAGTCACTAAACATTTTCAGGAAACCTATATGAAAAAAATGTGCCAATTACAATAAAAATATACTTATAGTTATCAATGACATTAAAAATGTGCAGTCCCTTTGACTCAAATATATTTTTAATTTCTGTTAATGTTATTTTTATAGTAAAAGGTCTATATGACAAATTTATGTGTTTAAACATACAAGAAATATTACCTGAAAAGGATTATACATATTCTGCTTCACATATTACCATCTTTATCAGAATTAAGTAATAGTTGAAATGATAGTGATTCACATTCTTGTTTTGTTTATAATTGTAATACAAATATATTTTGGTGCTTCATCATATATCAAAGTGTTAGAGTAAATGTCTAGTAGTAAATCTATAATTATAAATTTTCAAAGAGAGTTTTATTAGTGTTATGAAAATTAAGGCCTTTCAAAGTGAGAGGCAGCTAGCATTTATTGAGATCAATAAGAATAGCTATTCATGACACACTGATTCAGACACAAGCCCAGTGTTTAGATTAGAAGACAAAGGCAATAAGTATTTATAAGAAAGAGAAGGGAAACAAATACATCAATAGAAAGAAGGTATTTAGAAGAAATACCTTCTTTCTATTGATGTAGTATCATAACATAGTGATGTTAATGCTAAACAATGTTTTACATTTTCAGTTCAGTAGTGATAATAACTATTTTCTTGTCATCTTTGCAGACAGTTCTTTTGCAAGGCACAAGTTACTTAGACTTATTCCAAAGGTTATTTTGCTTTGTTTGAACATTCCGAAGATTGAGGCATAAGACCTCTTTGGCAGTTCCTCTGACATTGTAGCTCCTGCTCTATTTTAATGTGGCACTCTTTATATTATTGTTTACATTAGGAATACATGTTGAAATTTATAAAATGAACTTCTGGCATTTATTGAGTAATTATTTTTCTCTTCTTACTTAACATAATATGTAAGAATATTTTCCCAGCCCTCAGGCATTATAATCTTCTTGGAATTACACCATAGTTGATAGTTTCTATAGTGTATCTACATTTAGTTTAACATACTACAAGTTGCTGTATTTAATTTACTTTTTTTTTTTTTATCTTGATAGATGAGGATTCGAATGAACTCTCAAATGGAAATTTTACAGTTGAAGATTTAGAACTAGCTACCCAAAGACTGAGTGGTATGTATGATATTCAAGAACATGTAAAAATAATGTCATGAAGCACTTGACAATTTAAAAATACATTTTAAACGTGAATAAACTTTATTTATGGTTTTATAATTGAAGTTTTGTTTAGTTTGGGTATTTTAGAACATAGTAATTTACCAAAAATTAGAGTACTGTAGAACATGTGAATGCTACAATGCTGTTACTTCTCAGAGTCTTTAATATTCTAATAATTGTACTGTATTTCTTAAATTTATTAGCCAATAAACCCTGCCTTTTCTTATTCTGGGACTAGTGTTTATGGAGCATCATTTTAAGAAACACCTTTATTTTTATTTATTAATATAATTAAAGTTTATTTTTATACATATAAATACAACATTTAGATGAGAAAAAGAAAATGTGTGTGATCACATAACATAAAAAATATGGCAGGATAAGAGTACATTAGACCATATATTTAAGGCATTTGTCCATTTTCTTACACAGGCTAGGATGCAGAAAAGTATAGGCAAATGAAGAAAAAATGATTTTAAGACTATAGATACATTTATCATCCTTAGTTTTCTTAAATAATGATAAATTGCTACCATTTACAAAACTTGAAAAGCAAGAATGTTACCTACGTAATACTTACATAATAATATAATGAGCTTACTTATTTTTATTTATTTTAATTTTACTGTTTCCAACACCATTTTTCCTTTGTATGCCCTCTTCCACCTCCACCCACACCCTCTCACCCCCACCATCAACACACTGTTGTCCATATCCAAGAGATCTCTTTTCCTTTTGTTTTCTCCTCTTTTTTTGCACAGTCCTTCCAGACCCTCACCAACATGCTATCTCCCTTCCAGAGCTCTCTGCCTGTTTTCTATCTACAGGTCTCTCTCTATTTTGCTTGGTAGTTTAGTTTGTTCATTCTTTTCCACTTATGAATAAAATCATATTGTACAACTTTCTCTGACTGACTTACTTCACTTAGCATGGTGTTCTCCAGGTCCATTGATGCTGACACAAAGGGTGAAATGTTCTTATTTTTAATGGAAGAATAGTATTCTATTCTGTAAATGTATCACCGCTTTTTTTTTTACTTGAATTTTATTTTACTTTTTAATTAATCTATTTTTGTTACAGATGTTTTTCCTTCTCCCCCACTGATTCTCCCCTCCAACCCCTCCCCGCCCTGTCCCCAGCTTTGTTATCCATGTTCATTGTTCATGATACATGCATATAAGATCTGTGGTTTATCTCTCCCCAACAACCCCCTCTTCTGGGGATTGTCAGTCTGTACCCCACTACCACATCTCTGGGACTACCCCATTCCTCAGAATGTTTTCTTCATTATATTCCACAAATAAGTGAGATCATATGCTACTTGTCTTTCTCTGTTTAAGTTGTTTCACTTAGGATAATACTTTCCAGGTCCCTCCAGGTCATCTCAAAAGATAAGAGATCTTCTTATCCTTTGAGACGACATGGAGGGACCTGGAAAGTATTATCCTAAGTGAAAGAAGCCTAGCAGAAAAAGACAAATACCACATGATCTCACTTATATACGGAATATAATGAACATAACAGTCTGAGGAATACAGTAGACCCAGACACATGGAAGTAGGGCACAGACTGACATCCCTCAGAAGAGGGGATGGGGGGTGGGGGGGTGGGAAGAGATGAACCACAGAACTTGTATGCATGTATGCATGACCAATGGACATGGACAACTAAGCCGGGGACAGGCTGGAGGGGGGGTGGGGTGGGGGGTGCCAATAGGGTAAAAAGGTAAAATATCTGTAACAAAAAAATAAATAAAAATTCATAAAAAAAAAAAGATAAGAGATCTTTCTTACTTAGAGCTGCATAGTACTCCATTGTGTATATGTACCACAGCTTTTTTATCCATTCGTCTATTGATGGACATTTGGGCTGTGTCCAGATCTTAACTATTGTAAATAGTGCTGCTATGAACATGGGGATACATATATTCTTTCTGATTGGTGTTTCAGGCTTCTGAGGGTATATTCCTAGAAGTGGGATCATTGGGTCAAATGGAAGTTCAATTTTCAATTTTTTGAAGTAATACCATGTTGTTTTCCTTAGTGCCTGCACCAGTCTGCATTCCCACCAGCAGTAGATTAGAGTCCCCTTTTCTCCACACCCTCGCCAACAATTGTTGTTTGATGATTTGTTGATGGTGGCCATTCTTACAGGTGTAAGGTGACACCTCATTATTGTTTAAATTTTCATCTCTCTGAAGACTAGTGATGTTGAGCATTTCTTCATGTGTCTCTTAGCCATTTGTGTATTCTTTTTGGAGAGGTGTCTTATTTAGTTCCTCTGCCCATTTTTTAATTGGGTTTTTTGTCTTCTTTTTGTTGAGATGTATGAGCACTCTATATATATTAAAAATTAAACCTTTATCTGATATATCATTGGCAATTATGCTCTCCCATACAGTAGGTTGCCTTTCTATTTTGGTGATTGTATCTTTTGTTGTGCAGAACTTTTGAGTTTTATATAGTTCCATGTGTTCATTTTCCCTGTGTTTCTGTTGCCTTACGTAATGTATGAGTGTAAATTCTGCTGTGTATGATGTCTGAAATTTTGTTGCCTACAGTTTCTTCTAGCATTTGTATTGATTCATGAGTCACATTTAAGTTTTTTATCCATTTTGAGTTTATTCTTGCGTATGATGTAAGTTGATGGTCTAATTTCATTTTTTTTCATGTAGCTGTCCAATTTTTCCAACACCATTTATTGAAGAGACTCTTGACTCAACTGTATGCTCTTGCCACCTTTGTCAAATATTAATTGAGCATAATACCTTGGGTTCATTTATGGGTTCTCTATTCTGTTTCATTGATCTATCTGCCTGTTCTTGTGCCAGTACCAGTCTGTTTTGATGACAGTGACTTTGTAGTATAACCTGGAATCTGGTAATGTGATCCCTCCACCTTTGTTCTTCTTTTTCAAGATTGCAGTGGCTATTCTGAGTCTTTTTGGTTCCAAAAAATTGTTGAAATATTTGTTCTAGTTCTGCTATGTCATTCTTCATTTCCACTTGGTTGGTTACAATTTTTTTTTCTATCTTCACTCATGCTGCTGATGTCCTTATTTATACTGTTGAGCTTCCTACCTCTGAACTCTACCTCTGATAATTTGCTTAGCTGCATTTCATTGTTCTCATCTTCAATAGAGTCCTTTTGTTCTTTCATTTGGGATTTGTTTCTTTGTTTCACCATTTTGGCTGTCTCAGTGGTTTTCAGAGCCTGCCAAATGTTCCCTGTGGGTGTTGGTGTTCTGCTGTTTGTTGCTCCCTCTATTGGGTTTGGATGAGCCTGGGTGAGCCCACGTTAAACACCACTGTCAAGTCTTATTTCATGGATAGGTTTGCAAGCCCAGGAAAGGTTCTGTTATCCTGTAGCTTTTTCCTGGTGGCTAGTATTCTCAGTATCTCATTGCCGTGGAATGTAGCCCTAGTGTTCTGCATGAGAGGATTTCCAGGGTGTATGATAAATGCTGGTGGTTAATGACCCTCAATTTGCATTTCTTTGCCTCACCTGGGAAAGTTTGAATCTCTGAGGGGGTGGGTGCTGCTTTTCCCCACAGCTCTGGCAAGGAGCACACTGGGTACTGTGTTTTGTGGCCGTAACTCAGCAAAAACTCTGAGTGCCCTCCAAATCCCGATTGTCCTCATGGAGTTCCTGCCCAGTCTGCCCTCCCTCTGCCATAGCCACCAGGTGTGTGGCTGTGGCTATTTTAGAGCTCTGTCTAGGCTCCCTGTGCTATGGAGCGGGATTGGTTTTTATTCTCCAAAGGTGCTGGTCACACCTAAGACTGCTGCTGTTCACGGGCTCCAGCCAGCCACCCTCTCGCGCCTCCACAGATTTTACCAGTGTCCCTGGTTATATGATCCTGTCCTGCTGATTTTCTGTTTCTTTTTTCCAAGGATTTGTCTTTATTTTAGTTGTAATTCCCATTTGGTCCTTGGAAATCATCTTTGTAGCTTCTATTCACTCCACCTCTATTTTCACATCTTTTATGCCTATCTTGTGCACAGCTGGATCACAAAGGCATTTCTGGTGCCCCCAAACCTGCAGTCCCACGGGTAAGTGGATCATATTGTCGCTTTGTTGTCAGGGCTCTATACCTATGTTGTGGGCTGTTAGGTCACACAGGCCTCTCTGGTGCTTCAGCACCCCGCAGGTCTGGCAGGTAACTAGATAGCACTGTCCCTGCTGGGTGGCACAGGCCTCTCTGGTGCTTCAGCAACCTGAGGGTAATTGGATCCTGAGGGTAACTGGATCGCACAGTCCTTGCTGGGTTGCGCAGGCCTCTCTGGTGCCTTGCCGTTTCCATGGGCTGGAAGCTGGATTGCACCAGTCTTTTGGGCTCTGGCTTCCCACTGTTCTTGTGAACTGCTGTACCACACAGGCCTCTGTGGATCCCCAGGTCCAGCCACTGGAGGCTAGGGAGTACTGCTGCCCCATGGAGATCAAATCTTGCTCAGCTTTTGCTGTAGTTTTTGGGGATGGGTCTCAGCTGCTGGTCTGTGCTTCTGATGCCTGGGGATGGATGTCTGCTCCCCAGCCTCTGTTGCTGGGTGTATGTCTCAACTCTGATCCAGCTGCTACTGTGGGGGATGGTGCTGGGCTCCCAACTTTCTGTGACTTCCTCGGCCAGCACCTTGGTAGCTCCATTACTGTGCACTGGTCTGTGTTGACACAGAGTGTCCACTGGTTTAATGGTGCCAGGTGTGCTGGTAGGCTCAGGTTGTTGGGCCTTAGCCACTCCCACTGCCTCCTCCCAGGGAAGACCAGGGATCTTCCAAAATGGTGGGATCTCCCTGCGGAATTGGGAGAAGGGCCCTGAAGGGCTGCATACCGCGGTAGCCGATTGCTCCTGTCCACAGCACAGGAACCTTCTGCTCCGTGGCTGTGCACTGCTCGGGTTTGGTTGTCCACCTTCACATCAACTCACACTCTCTCACACACTCGCTGTCTCACACACTCACCCTCCTTCCGGTTCTGCTCACTACCACCTTCTACAGCAC